TATGGAATATAAAACTGGAACCTAAGAACACAAAGACCAGTGTGATGGTTGCCAGAGGGAAGGGGGTGGGGTAAGAAAGGGGTCCTAATATGAGGTGACAGGAGATATGACTTTGGGAGGTGGGCACATTGTCCTATATACAGATTTTGTAAATTAGTAATCCACACATGAAACCTACATGTTCATGTCGCCAATATAAAATTTGAAAATAAAATGAAAAAAAAAGTTAAAGGTTAAGGAAAGGTCAGTCAGTACATGCCATCTTATATAATAAAGAGGTAATATGCAAATTGACCATAACTCCAACACATAAGATGGCCACCCCCATGTGGTCAAAGATGGCCACTACCATGTGGACATAAGATGGCCACCACAAGATGGCCAGCAGGGGATGGCAGCTGTGGGTGATCAGGACAGCTGGGGAGGGCAGTTAGGGGTGACCAGGTGGGCAGAGGAGGGCAGTTGGGGGCAACCAGGCCTACAGGGGAGGGCAGTTGGAGGGATCCAGGCCTGCAGGGGAGGGAAGTTAGGGGTGATCAGGCCAGCAGGGGAGCAGTTAGGGGCAACCAGGCTGTCAAGGAAGAGAAGTTAGGGTTGACTGGGCCAGGGGGAGGATAGTTGAGGATAACCAGGCCAGCAGGGGAGTGAAGTCAGGGGAAATCGGGCCAGCAGGGGAGCAGTTAGGTGTTGATCAGGCTGGCAGGTGTGTGGTTAGGGGGTGATCAGGCTGGCAGGTAGAAGCAGTTTGAGGCAATTAGGTAGGCAGGCAGGCGAGTGGTTGGGAGCCAGCAGTACTGGATTGTGATAGGGATGTCCAACTGCCTAGTGGGATCAGGCTTACATGTGCAGTTGGACATCCCTCGAGGGGACCCAGATTGGAGAGAGTGCAGGCTGGGATAAGGAACACCCACCCCTGTGCACGAATTTTATGCACCAGGCCTCTAGATATGTAATAATTTTCAGGGTGATTTTCTCCATAAGGCAATCCTGGGGATGAAAATTTGTCCACAGAACTTTAAGCAATAAATAATACTATCGCACATAAAACTCTACCCTGAAAAATCCAGATTGAAACATCTCAAGTTAGAAGCTAGAATACTTTAAATGTGCCTTAAAAGCTGAAAGATTCAGTAAAAGGTATGTACTTTGGAATGAAAAAAATATTAATATATAGTACAGGATAAATCCAGGCATTAAATTCTTTGACTTGATTAGGCAGAACGGCAAAGAAAATTCCCCGAATTGCCTTCACCATTAAAGGATCCTAGAGTGGGGGTACTTGCCCACATTTTGTGTCCTATAGAAAGAAACCTACAATAAAAATGGTGCTGCAAATGTACAAAGTTCTAGCTTTGTCCCTGGGATCCTTAGAAACCATTTTGGGAAAAGACACTCTTGAGGAAGCAGTTAAAGGCCATTTCTAATTAGGTCTGGATCATCAATATACCCTACATATATCCAAGGATTACATGGAATGGCAATAAGTGGAACCACAGTGAGAAATACAAGGTGTGCAATTAGATAAGGTGGGTTAGAATCTCCAGGACCACTGAAGTTAATGTATATTGATGGTGGCCATCTACATCTTGTATGGACTAAATGGTATGATGCTTTTATAGAGAATTTAATAAACATGCAAAAGTCAAATTTACTGAGTTACTCAACATTAAGCCACAAATATAGCTCCACCTTTTGGATTATAAAACAAATTCCCCTTGGAGAGATTCAAGCATATGTGGTAAAATTTCCAATGCATCCCAAATTTTGCTTTGGTGTCTGCTGTCATAAAGACCTAGTTTCTTTGCCACAAAATGTCACAGATCTTTCTCCAACTTTTAAAAAGCTGTTATCAAAGATAGACAGGGTGTTTTTGTTTTTTTTCTCTCTCAGACTTTGAAAATATAATGTAGTTTCATAAAATTACACTTAAAAAGCGATGATGAGGAGGAACCAAGATATTGCCACAGGTAAACACATGAACTTGCTGCCTCACACAACCACATCAAAACTACAACTAAAAGACAAAACATATCATCCAGAACTATGAGAAGGCTGGTTGAGTGGAAGTTCTACAACAAGGAAAGAGAAAAGCACACTGAGACTGAGAGGAAGTGTGGAGGTGCGGAAGTGAAGTTTGGAGGTACAGAGGCATGCACGGAAAAGTACTGACAACTGGGTATACTGTTTTCTTTTTCAATCTGGAGGGAGATATAAGATCCTGACTGTTCTGAACTCCAGTCCTGGGCAAGACTCTGAGGACCCAGACTCATACAGGGAGAAACTGGACTGTCTGGCATCAGGCCAGAACATGAGGCCGGCTTTCTCTCAGAGGCCGGCTTTCTCTCAGAGGTGCTTGTAGTGATCATTGTTCCTGCATAGTGCCACAGTACACAGAGACCCTGGGACCTATTTGGGGCATGACTGACGGTCAGTCATTGCTGTTTGCTCCACTCAGGTGATTCCCTGAGACCCCACCCAATTTACAAACCCACCCAAGCTGTGCACAGAGGTTTTTGCATATAAATGGCCTTGCCTTTTGCAATCTGAAACCTAACAAACTGCAGCTGGGTCAGAGAGCCCCAGAGCCTCCAAATAAGGCCCAAAATTGGATAGCAGCTTGCATTACTTCATAACTGGGCCTAATCTGCGTACCTGCAAACCCGCAATAAAGAGGAGGAATCTGTAGATCTTTCTGTAGCTGCTGCTGGGTGGCCTCAGGCAGTGGCTGATTTTGCACCTCCTAGCAGATCCAAGAGCCAGTGTACCCAGTAGTGAGACCATCCAGATTACAACTCTTCACATTCATAAGAGACACACTCAGGGGGCAGACTCAGTGAGTGCCAGAACCCCATTGAAGAAAGTTTTGCCCAATAAGGGTGATTCCAGCACAGAAGTTCTCCCATTATAGACACAACTGACCCTTACAGCCAATTGGCCTGGAGGTCAATTTCTCCCAGTGATACCAACAGCAATCAAGGCTTAACTAAAACAAGATTGTGAACGCAGCCCACAAAGGGGTGCACCAAGAATGTCCACCTCAGGTAATTAGGGAGGCTGAGCCACTGGGCCCTATAAGACACCTAGCACACAAAGCCACTCTATCAACACAGGGAAGCAACCAAAATGCAGAGACAAAGGAACAGGTCACAAGTGAAAGAAATGGAGGAAAGCCAACTACTGGATATAGAATTCAAAACATGGTTATAAGGTTACTCAAGTATCTTCTAGAAACTTCCAAGAAATTTAGTGAGACCTTCAAGGATATTAAAAAGTACCAAGTAGAAATTAAACATACACTGACTGAAATAAAGAATAATGTACAGAGATCCAACAGCAGACTAGAGGATCCCAAGAATCAAGTCAAAGATTTGAAATAAGAAGCAGCAAAAACACCCAATCAAAAAAAGCAAAAAGAAAAGAGAATCCAAAAATATGAAAATAGTGTAAGGAACCTCTGGGGCAACTTCAAGTGTAACAACATCAGAATTATGGGGGTGCCAGAAGAAGAGAGCAAGATATTGAGAACCTATTTGAAGAAATAATGACAGAAAACTTTCCCTGCCTGGTGAAAGAAATAGGCTTACAAGTCCAGGAAGCACTGAGAACCCCCAACAAGAAGAATCCAAAGAGGACCACACCAGGACACATCATAATTAAAATGCCAAGGGCAAAAGACAAAGAGAGAACATTAAAAGCAGCATGAGAAAAACAGTTAGTTACCTACAAGGGAGTACCCATAAGATTGTCAGCTGATTTCTCAACAGAAACTATGCAGGCCAGAATGGAGTGGCAAGAAATATTCAAAGTGATGAATAGCAAGAATCTACAACCAAGATTACTCTACCTAGAAAAGCTATCATTTAGAATTGAAGGTCAGATAAAGAGCTTCACAGATAAGAAAAAGCTAAAGGAATTCATCACTGCCAAAACAGTATTGCATGAAATGCTGAAGGGTATTCTTTAAGAAAAGGAAAAAGAAAAAGGTAAAAATAAAAATTATGAACAACAAAGTGACAACAAATACAAATATATAAACAAGTGAATCTAAAAATCAAGTGTATAAAAAAATCTGAGAATCAGCCAAGACCAGTTTGGCTCAATGGATAGAGGGTTGGCTTGGGGACTGAAGGGTCCCGGGTTCAATTCTGGTCAAGGGCATGTACCTTGGTTGCGGGTATATTCCCAGTAGGGGGTGTGCAAGAGGCAGCTGATCGATGACTCTCTCTCATCGATCTTTCTAGCTCTCTCCCTTCTTCTCTGTACAAAATCAATAAAATATATTTTTAAAAAATCTGAGGAACAGAATAAACTGGCGAATATAATAGAATATGAAATAGAAAGGGAGTGGACTGACAATTCTCAAGGGAAGGGGGAGTGTGGGGTGCGGGAAGAGACTGGACAAAAATCTTACACGTATGGATGAGAACAGTGGGGTGTCAGGGCAGAGGATGTGGTGGGAACCAAATGGTGGAGAGCTATGGGGGGGGGGGGAGAGGAACAACTGTAATAATCTGAACAATAAAGATTTATTAAAAAAATAAAATGTAAGTAAAAAGTGATGATGAATGTTGGTATTGAAAATGCTTTTAGTGAGTCGTAATCAGATAACATCAAACTTGGAAAGAAGAGTAAAGGTAACTTTTACTAGAGAGAATATGAGATGTTGCCATCATTTATGACAGCACATTGGTACTTTACAAACATAAAATTACTGCTTTACAAAAGTCTGACTTAATACTTACATTTGAATACCCTAATATTATACTTAAAATAATTAAAAAAAAAAACAGGAGTGGAGTCTCCCGTGCCCGGCCATCCCCTGCGGAGCTGCCAAGGAGCCGCTCGCTCGTTCTCAGCCCTCATCGCCCTTAAAGTTCGTTTAAAAAAAAAATCCTAGTCCTTCTTAAGAGAGCGAGAGAGGGCGCGAGCCGGCGGGGGGGAGGGGGGAAGGGGGAGGGGGGAGGGGGGGAGGGGGGAGGGGGGTAAGGGGGGGCCGGGCGCGCTGGGAGGAGGCGGCAGCGGCGGCGGCAGCGCTGGGCTGGCTGAGGGGCTGCGGCCACCTGAGACGATTTGAAAAATAAGATCTGATCACCTGGAATTAAAGTTGGTACAGAAACCTTTTCAACTCCAAAAATGTTGGAGGAAGATATGGAAGTGGCCATCAAGATGGTGGTTGTTGGGAATGGAGCAGTTGGAAAATCAAGTATGATTCAGTGATATTGCAAAGGCATTTTTACAAAAGATTACAAGAAAACCATTGGAGTTGATTTTTTGGAGCGACAAATCCAAGTTAATGACGAAGATGTCAGATTAATGTTATGGGATACGGCAGGTCAAGAGGAATTCGATGCAACAACAAAGGCCTACTATCGAGGAGCCCAGGCTTGTGTGCTTGTATTTTCTACCACAGACAGGGAATCTTTTGAAGCAATTTCCAGTTGGAGAGAGAAAGTAGTAGCTGAAGTTGGAGATATACCAACTGTACTTGTACAAAACAAGACTGATCTCTTGGATGATTCTTGTATAAAGAACGAGGAAGCTGAAGCACTGGCAAAAAAGCTAAAGCTAAGGTTCTACAGAACATCGGTGAAAGAAGACCTAAATGTAAATGAAGTTTTTAAATATTTGGCTGAAAAGTATCTTCAAAAACTCAAACAAGTAGCTGAGGATCCAGAAGTAAGGCATTCAAGTAGTAACAAAATTGGTGTCTTCACATCTGATGGAAGTCACTCGGGTCAGAGTTCAAGTACCCTTAATGGTGGAGATGTCATCAATCTTAGACCCAACAAACAGAGGACCAAGAAGAGCGGAAATCCTTTTAGCAGCTGTAGCATACCCTAAAATGTTGTAGGCAGGAAAAAAAATTGTGCAATTCAGTGAGAACTACATCCAGCTCACATGGTATGTTACAAGGTTTTAGCAGATTTTGCACCTAATGGTTCTGAAAGTTGACAGACTTAAATGTTGATCTTCAGTGCTTTTCAGAATGGAGTGAAATCTTTGGAGGAAAAATTATTGCCCTGTGGACTCATTTTAATTTTTTTACATTAGACGAAGCTTCTCCTGTTTTGGAAAGAATGGTGTAAGAAATGTCAAAAACAGGTTTTGCTGAATTTTAAATGCTGGAAAATATAAATGAAATGCCTAAATATATGGTACAGATTGTAATGTTAAGTAAAGTTAGCATTCTTTTTCTGAAATTAGTCATCAACCTTTTCTGAGAAATAGTATTGAACCCAAGTATTAATACTTACAAAAAATAACGAAAGGTAAACCCTAAATTTGGTGAGACTGCATTAGTGTGTACTTGGGCAATGTTACTGTGCAATATCTGTACCATTTCGGGTATGGAGGTATGCATGCAGGTACTTGGTACTGAATTGAAGGTATGTGCAGTGTTTAATGAAACAGAATCTAACTCATTCATTCATAGAATCATTTACACATTGTGTATATGTTAAAAGTTTTTATTTTCAAGTAAGAAATTTCAGACATATATTTTGCAAAAGAGCTGAGATTTAAAAAGTGTTTTGTGCCAAAAAATATCATATCTAATTTTTACAGTGTTTACTATCAGAATTAATATTGTTTATAATATCTTTTAAAAGCAGTTTTCCTCTCTGACGGGGTAGATAAAAGAGTTTAAATGTTTTAGTGCTAGGTCATCTCTCAGGTGAGACTTGTTGCAAATCTTTTTCACGTGTCCCTCTTAGTGTGGCGAGCTTGTGCTGGCCAAGTCCTGGAGCAGACACAGCACGTCTGCGGCTACTCCTTAGGCTGGAAGCACACTGGTGCTTCCAAGTGCCTTTGCTGCTGACTAAAAACGCAACCTTGAACTTTTAGGATTATGCTAACAGTTTTTAAAAATGCACAAGAAGTGATCCTTTGTCATAATCCACACTATGGATTTTATAATGCTCTGCAACTGTAAAGCATCTTTTTGTTTACACCTTTTTGTATGGTATTTTAAGATTATCGCTTAAAAATTTCTATAACCTTTGATTTGTACAGCACTTTCTCAAGACCTCTGTCAGGAACAAATGTAATTTCTTTTAAGAAAGGATTTTAATATGTAGTCATGTGGCAGAACATAAACTTGTGACTTGGGACAGTAGTTTTCCAGCTAAGATAATTGCACGAACTCTGTTAAAACTAATTATCATTTATCAATGGTTTTGTTTTTTAACCGTTTGCAATATACCTTGTTTTTATAGGATTTCAAAATGTGTACAAATAACTTCTTGAAAAATGTGTGATCAAGTTCTTTTTAATTATTTGTAAATGCATAATGTTCTATATATTTCTTGTTTCCTTTTTTTTTTTTTCCCTTAGGTCTTCCATCTTTGCCACTCTCATCCTCCATCTAGATTAATGTTGAGAACCTAATAGAATTTTCTGAGGCATGTCGTTAAGTGGTCAAGTGTGGATGTTTGCTTTTCGGAATACTGAAATAATCTGGTATTACATATTTCTTTTTAAAAAAATATATTTTATTGATTTTTTACAGAGAGGAAGGGAGAGAGATAGAGAGTTAGAAACATCAATGAGAGAGAATCATGGATCAGCTGCCTCTTGCACACCCCCTACAGGGGATATGCCCGCAACTAAGGTACATGCCCTTGACCAGAATCGAACCCAGGACCCTTCAGTCCCCAAGCCGACGCTCTATCCATTGAGCCAAACCAGTCTCAGCTGGCATTACATATTTCAAAGTAATATAAAATGTTTATTTTTATGTCAAAAAACAAAACAAAACACACACACACAACTCAAATGCAAGTTGACAAACAGGACAAAATTCCTTGCCAAAAGTAGTCATTAAAATCTAATAGTTACATAATATATTTTACACTGACTTTTTAAAATGAAATTTGTATTAAAATCATAAAATAAAGGGCATAAAATAGAAGCCATTAATTATGTTGTAATGGTGAATCCTGGGTTTGGGTTGCTGTTTTAACAAAGTTTATTCTGTATAATGTCTATAGTAGAGGCCCAGTGCATAAAATTCGTGCACTTGGGGGATTCCCTCAGCAAGGCTTATCGCAGTCTGGGAGCCTTTGGGGGATGTCTGACAGCTACAGAGGTGGGAGAGGCTCCTGCCACCACCACTGTGCTTGCCAGCCTTGAGCCAGGATCAGGGTTTCTGGCTAAGCAGCACTCCCCCATGGGAGCACACTAACCAACAGGGGGCAGCTCATGCATTGAGGCTTTGCCCCCTGGTGGTCAGTGTGTGTCATAGTGACCAGTCATTCTGCCATTCAGTTAATTAGCCTTTTATTATATAAGATGGTCTGACATTCATTTCTCTTCCCCATTCCTCCAGTTTAAAATTTCTTAAAAGCACAATGCCATTTCTTTAACTATTTATTAATCATCCAGAAGCAAAAGTGCAGCACAGGAAAATAATCTTTATTATAATGTAACTAGAAACAGACTAAATAGGAAGTCAACACAGTAATTTTTTTTTACGATCAGGCTTCAATAACTAATCAAACAGTCTCAGTTGCACAGATATTTTGGTCACTATTATAATCTTCAAGGGCACAAAAGCCAACAACGTAAACTAATATGAAGGTAATGACTATGAAAATTTCCTATGGGCCAAAAATGTATATCACTGCATTAAATTCTACCCCTGTATTTTCTTAATATTCTTCTTAAACATTAAACAATTGTTACTCAGAAAAATATTAAACATGCACATAATATTCCTACAAGAATACTATCTTAATATTGTCAGTATTTATACCAAGCTATTCTTTCCCCCACGTTCAATGAAACATGGTTCTATTACCCATATCTATGTGTGTTAGTGGTAATATGGAAACTTGATTTGTTTTCAAGGTTAAATAGCAGATTGATTTCGCATTTGGTGGGCAGCTGTAGATATTTTTTAAATAAATTTAACTACATTTCATAAATCCTGAGATTTTCAATAACTTGCCAATGATTGTATACTTTTCATTTATACTTCTTTCCAATTAATTTGAACCCCACATAAGTATTTAAAATTATTTACAGATGGTTGCAACTAAAGCAACAATGAAGTTTACTACTTGTATAGTAAGACTCCTAATAAGGTCTTTAACTAATGCTGCATGTTTTATACATTTTTTACTTATTAAAGAGCAATTCTTAAAATTCTTAAAGTTATGATTATCTGTCAGCAATAAGTCCTTTCACTTTGCTACATAAATAACCAGATTCACTTTTCCCTCTCTTGTAAAACACGTTTTTTTCTTCCCACAAACACGTTAATAGTCCAACTGAACAGGTGCCAAAAGAAACTTAGTATTTGAAGAGCAGATTGATAACCATAATGACTAGCAGAGAAATATGCTCATAACAAACAGGCATTCAATAGTATTTATTACACATGGAATGTGTGAATTGTAAGGCAGCTGTTAGGCAGATACTTTTCACCATACACCATAACTCATTTTGTTTAACAAGGGAATTCAAGGTTACCAGATTTAATTTGCCCTCAAATGTAAATCCAAGATTTTGAAATTTTAAAAACTGTTTTAACAGTTCTCAAAAAATGTAAACAAGTTAATAGTAGTTGCTACTGCAATATTAGTTGAGAGAAAAAAAGAACAATTGATTTCTACTAAATCATATGTACAATTGAGGAGAAGAAATACAAACTTAAGAAGTGTTAACTAATTATTATTTTCTCCAGATTTATCCTTGCAGTGATTTTGTTCATATATTTTTCCCTGTTAACTTCTTTGAAAGAGAACTTTATTATCTGAATGGATTTCCCTAACTCCCTAGGTACATAATGTTAGTGAAAAACTGGTGTGAATATAAGGTTCTATTTTCAAGTAATGCCATGTTTCTGTATTTGTTTGTTGTTGCTGCTGCTGTTGTTGTTTTTTGCTGACATTAATTTTTTCCTATTGAAATGATTCTGTATATATAGAATATGTACGAATCTGCCAACTTACTATGTATGAGATTGCTTGCTTATAATATTCAATTTTTGAAGCATATTGCACACTTATCATCTAGAGTATTAATAAGTAACTTACTCTTTTTAGAAAGGATACACTGACAAATTCTCAAGTTAATGACTTTGGCCAAACAATTTTAGTATGTCACAGGACAATAGCAATGGCAAAAACATTGACGATACAGTTCATGGTTCGGTTCTCCCATCTTACGGTACAGGTTCCTGAAAACACACACACAAAAGGATTTGAAATACCAGCAAAACAATGAAATTACCAGATAATATATTTATGCATTTTCATAGGTTTTAATATCTTATTTCCTGAAATCTGTTAAATGTTAATATTTCATATTTGCCTAAGACATACTTGTTAATTATAGTTAGATACAAAGCAATTCTATTGATAAAGCTTTTTTCAGAATTAGAAATAAATAAGCATTTGATAATAAGTACACTGTTTAACTTTGCTAGTAGTTGGATTTTGTTTGAATCAGCTTATAGTCTCTTACCATCAGATGTGGTATCCCAAAAGCATGAACTGGCTGTATGAAAGCCATATGCACTCCTCTGGACCACTGCACAGGTCACTAAAAATAAAGTCATAGAGTAAGGATGTTTATAAACAAAGGAAAAGATATCCAAGATCTAAGTGTTTGAATTTTTGGCTTTAAAAGGTGCAAAAATAATAGAAAACCAAGCATTTAGCAAGCAAATAAATTTAAAAAATAAAAAGTCCCTCACCTTAATTATCTAATACCACGATTTTATCCCCACCAGATCCAGTCTGTTTGTTGCCCATTTCCATAACCAGTGGTTATGTGCCCTGCCTCATGGGCATAATTCAGTCAAAGAAAATATTCCACTTTAGAAATAATTATTGTGTGGTACTTCACAGTCTTACATGTAAGGAGGCACAGGGTAACTGAAAGGAAGATAGTAGGGCCCAGTAGGTTATGGTGGAAAGAGCTAACTGATATAAATGTAAAAGGTGATGTTACCAAGAAAAGGCTTTTGAAGAGCAAGCGATATCTCTATCTTTTAGATATCATATACTAGAGTCCCAGTGCACAAAACTCGTGCACAGGGGGGTTCCCCTCAGCCAAGCTTGCATCCTCTCCAATCTGGGACCCCTCAGGGGATGTCTGACTACTGGATTACAATCAGGCCTAAACCGGCAGTCAGACATCCCTCTCACAATCCTGGGCCACTGGCGCCTAATCGCTCACCTGCCTGCCTGCCTGGCCACCCCTAACTGCCCTCCCACTGGCCTGATCGCCCCTCACTGCCTCTGCGTATCGACCTGATTGCCCTTAACTGCTCCCCTGCCCCCTTTTGGCCTGGTGGTCCTCAATTGCCCCAATCTGCTTGCCTGTTTGCCCCCAAGTGCTCCCCCCCTCCCCCCCGCTGGCCTAGTCACTCCTCACTGCCCCCCCCCAGCCAGCCTAGTCACTCTTAACTGCCCCCTCACTGCTGGCCTGGTCGCCCCATGCAGACTGCTTATTTGGTTGTTTGGTCGTCCCTCACTAACCCCCCTGCTGGCCTGGTTGCCCCATGCAGCCTGCTTGTTCAATTGTTTAGTCATCCCTCACTAACCCCACTGTTGACCTGGTTGTAGGCAGCCATCTTATGAGGGCATGATGGTCAATTTGCATATCATCTCTTTATTATATAGGATTATCTTTAGATGAATATATCAGAAGTCCTTTATACCCTATTAATATCCAACTACGGTGTCTATCATTCAGTTATATTCTCTAAATTCTGAGAAAATTACAAGAACAAAGGTGAGTAAACTTCTAAGGAAGGATAGTAACACTTACCAATATATTTATAAGCTTTTCCCAACTTGACCAAATGTGCTAAGGATTGTTCCACAATACTTGCAGTCCATTGGTTGATGTTGTTCTGATTATAATCTTCACCACCCAAAACTCCATCTATACACTAAAAGGGCAAAGGACAGTTAATAAATTACACAAATTGCAACAAAAATATATGCAAAATACAAAATGCATTTGTAACCCAATAGAGCATCTTAGAAATTATGCATCTAGTAAGTATTTAGTAAGCAATGTCTCTAATTGTTTAAGAATTTTCAAAGCATGTCCACATGCATTATCTCACTATGAGATACAATGGTCACATACAGATAAATATGACATGGACCAGTTGTAAAGAATTTAATCTAGCAAAGAAGCTAATAATTCTATAACACAAGGAAGACTAATCAAGGATGTTAAGTTATATCATAAAAGAATTAGGCCAGTAGAGATTTTAAAAGGGTAATATCAATTGGTTAAAGAATGACTTTGAGAGAGAAAAGATGGCAACCAGCAAGAAAGTAGGGAGGGAGAGATTGTGAGAGAGTGAGGAAGCAATAGAGGAGTTTGTGGATGTGTGGTGTGTGTGTGTGTGTGTGTGTGTGTGTGTGTGAGAGAGAGAGAGAGAGAGAGAGAGAGAGAGAGAGAGAGAGAGAAAGAGAGAGAGAGAGAGAGAGAGAGAGAGAGAGAGAGAGAGAATGCGCTAGGGACAGTTTGATTCTTTAGTCATCTAAGGGGCTGCTAAACTGCGAAGTCTTAAATGGGGAAATCCCTCTGCCACTGCAGACACTTCGGGGGCAGCTAGTGCAGGTATAGAGACCACAACATCTTGAAAAACAGAACTGCTTGAGACTAGGGTCCTAGCCTCACCACCACCCAATCTTATCTCAGATGCAAACCAGGACCTTATAGCCTCTAGGGACAAATACCTGCTACCCACAGACAGCAAGAATCCAGACATCCTGGCTGCAGACCCACAGACACTAAGAATCCGGACATCCTGGCCACAGATTTCTGTGGCTCACAGAGCCCCTCCCCACCACTCAGGCTCACTGCAGCACCATAAGAACTGCTAGACCCGCTCCATGCAAGCAGGCTTCCTGTCCACACAGGGCAGCTCAACTACCTGAATTTGAGCCTGGACACTCAGACACTGGGAGGATGTTTCCCACAGCATGCACTACCATGACCAGACCCCATGCCCACACAGGGCAGCTCCACTACCTGAATTTGAGCCTGGGTGTGTGGACATTGGAAGACTGTTTCCACAGCATGTACACGCACGACAAGAACCCACACACACAAAGTATGGCAGTGAGTCCTGACTTTGATTCTAGGCAAGTGCACACAGAAGTCTATTTTTCGCAGTGTAGGAGTGGAACTCCTGCTGACACAGGTTGGCTGTGCAACCTGGTGCCCCAAGCAAACCAGGGACCATGATTCTCCATAAAAGAGGTAGCACTGAGCACAAGTGATTTGACTCTGTTTCTCACACACCTGGGATCCCTGATTCCCAGTACATGCACAATAAGAGCCAGTGACTCCAATTCTGGTTGCATGCATACACAGGGACCCTGAATCTCAGCATGCGGCTGCACCAAGTAAGAGAAACTCTGATACTCAATTTTCAGCATGAGCACAGGGGGACTATGACTCCTGGCATGTGTTAGGGGACTCTGATATTTAGTACACAGCAGCAGGGTCTCTTTTTCAGCAAGGTGTGCGTGGGGGGGGGGTGGAGGGGTGTCTCTGATTCTAGGTGTGCGCATGAGGCTATACTGAGAGCCAGTGGCTCTGATCCTGGGTGAACGTGGCTCCAACCAACTCATTGCAGCCACATGCCTTGGTGATGGAGCTCTTCAGTGACACTCATGTGGTGCGAAGCTCCCACTGCACAAAGCCCAGGCCCCCTCAACTTGGCATTTGAACCTTCTGGTGAAAGTTAGAATAGGGAGGCAACAAAACAATTCCCAGAGGAAAGAAAATGAAGAATCACCAAGAAAGGAAATAAGTGAAATGGAGGCATGTAGCATGACAGAAAAAGAATTCAGAATAATGGTTGTACAATTCATACACCAGATGTATGAGAAAATCAACAACCTATGCAAAAATCAGGAAAAAATCAAAAGTTATATAGCTACAATAAAAATAAAAATGCCATGGAAGGTTTCAACAGAAGACTAGAAGAAGCAAGGACCAAATTAGTGAGTTAGAAGATACAGAACAGAAACAAGCCCAATCTGAACTGCAATTGGAGAAAAAAGTTAAAAACCAGGAGGAAAGCCTAAGGGAGCTTTGGGGCAACACAATAAGAAGTAACATACGTATAAGAGGGCTGCCAGAAGGACAAGAACAGCAAGGATTAGAAAATCTATTAGAATAAAAAATGACAAATTCCCTGATATGGGAAAGAAAAAAATTTCACAAGTATAGACAGTCCCAAGAAAGATGAATACAAAAAGACCCACACCAAGACACATCATAATTACAATGGCAAATGTTAATGACAAAGAAATAATTTTAGGCCCGGAGCAGCCTGGCCCGAAACAGCTCGCTCCTCACCTGCCCCTGCCCCATGGCTGCCTCTCAGACATGGCTGGAAACTTTTGCGGGAACTTGAGGGTCTGCTGAATCAAGTGATGAAGGCTTATATCTGGATGTGTTGAGTTAGTATAGTACTGGGGTGTTGATCTGTGAGTGCCTTGGGTGGGGCCTGGATGAGGCTGGTTGTCCTATTTGGAAATGTCTTTTGTGTGAAGTGTATCACTGGGCATGTGGAGGTATTATTGATATGAGAAAATGCTAAGTAACAGATTTGCTATCTGAAAAGGGATTTACTATCGGGGAAAGGGAGGGAGGAAGAGACTGAACATAAACTGTGCACCAATGGATGAGGGCAGAGGGTGGGGTGGGAACCTGGTGGAGGGGGGAAGAAACGAGGAACCTTTGTAATAATATGAACAATAAAGATTGATTAAAAAAAAAAGAAATAATTTTAAAGGCTGTAAGAGAGAGACAGAGGATCTACAAAGGATCCTCCATTATATTATCAAATTATTTCTCAACAGAAACACATCAAGCTAGAAGGGACAGGAGAGAAGCATACAAAGTGATGCAAAGCAAAGGACAGAGTCCAAGAATACTCTATCCAGCAAGACTATCAATCAAAATTGAAGGGGAAATTGGGAGCTTCACAGACAAAAATAGGCTAAGGGAGTTTATCACTACCAAGCCAGCAATGCAAGAAATGCTAGGGAATGCTATAAAAAGAAGAAATAGATAGGGAGGAAAGAACAAAGGCATAAAGTACAGAAATGGCTACAGACAAGTACCAATCAATAACATTAAACGTAAATAGATTAAATGCTCAAATCAAAAGAAATTGTGTGATTGAATGGATAAGAAAACATGAACCATTATATATATATAAATATATTGCTTACAGGAGACCAACCTCAGAACAAGTTTCTCACATAGACTGAGAGAGAAGAAAAGAAAAAAAAGTCTATCAGGCAAATAAATAAATAAATAAATAAATAAACAAACCTCAAAATGAAGAACATAATAAGAGACAAGAAAGGCCACTTCAATTATAATGAAATTGATACAAGAGGATATAACTCTGGTAAACATTTATGCACCCAATGCAGGAGCACCCAAATATATTTTAAAAACTTCTTGAAGATGTCAAGGGAGAGACTTTCTAAAAATGGAGGCAGAATAGACAGACATGTTCCAAGCTTTGTCTTCTAACAAAGAAAGAAAGAACAGCTAAGGTTTGCACGGGGGGACTGTAAGACGGGGTTCCCTTGACCTGGCAGCCCCCACTGGGGCTGGGTCCCCTCCTGGAGCTAGAGGCTTGGCCATGGAAACCGTGTCATCTTGAAAGGGCAAGTAGATCTTATTGGAAGCCTGAAAATCCACAACTGCAGAAACCACCGAACACCTAGGAACCCCAGAACACTGGTCTTCAACTGGCACAAACACATGGATTCAAAGGAGCTCCTCACACCACCACAGAAAGGTCATATTTTGCCTGGGGTAAGGTGAGGTCACTAGTCCCAGCAAAAGAGAGAAACGAGTAGTTTCCGGGAGCTAGAGAACTGGGGAAGTCTGTGCCTAGAAAAGTTCGTGGCTGTTGTGGCTGGCTTAATCCTTGATTGTGGAAGGGGATCCTCCAAGCTGCTAATGGGAGGGATCTCTACAAATCATCCCATTTTGATCTGATGCTGAAGGACAGCCTAAGAATTTCAAAGGAGTGCAGGCTGCTTAGACTTGGGCGCCGACCCATTATTTGCTCACTTGGGCTTTTTCCTCTTCATTTCCTTGCTTCTGATTACTAAGCTGAATACATACCATGTTTCCCCAAAAATAAGACATCCTCCGAAAATAAGACCTACTTACAGGTTTCCTTCTGAGTGAAATATAAGGCATTCCCCCGAAAATAAGGCTCCCCCTAGGCTAAACATGAGAGATTTGGTCCACTGATTCTGAAAGAAATGGAGTCACAAGAAATTCACCAGGAAATTCAGGAATTGGATTGTTATGATGATGTTCCAGAAGATGATGACATGATTGTCATGGAATAAATGAGTAAATTCTTGATACTGTAGGATTCACAGTTTGTCTGGTTTGTGTTGACAACTACTACCATACTACCTTACCGTATACAGGTAATAAATTTCCTTTATTTTCATTTAACAATAAATGTGTACCGTATTATTTTTCATGGAAAAATAAGACATTCCCTGAAAATAAGACCTAGCACATCTTTGGGAGCAAAAATTAATATAAGACACTGTCTTATTTTCGGGGAAACAGGGTAGGATCACCCAGTTGGGGACACCTTGGATGACTGCAGGGGGAAGCTGTTTTCCTGAAACCTGGGGATCGGAGCAGAGAGTGACTATTGGAGAGCCACCTCTCAGGCAGCCCACCTCCACGAACAGGTATTGAGTGCCATAGGGAAAGAAGGCTAGAGAAGGCATAGAGACCCTGAAGTCAATCCAAAAACACTGCCACCCAGGGGCTGAATCACAAATTGACTCGTGTAATAAAGAATAAAGGAATATGAGAAATTAAGACACCACCTGATTAAAAATTATTGATAGGACTGTCTTACAA